ATAACTCAAAGGCTACATTTGGCATATTTGTGCACAACGAGATGCCAGGAGGGATTTGCATTATATTGAAGCTGCTGATGCAAAACAATCTGCCTAGACATTTTCCTCATATTTATGCTGTAGCTGGATGAATAACAACTGCTTGCATATCTGGCAAAGTGGGGAAAAAAATAAAATTCTTGAGTATTTGATGTCTCTTACAGTTATTTTCTACATTAATTAAGCTATTATAACCAGTCTCTTCTGAAGGAATGCTGATTGACTTGGTCCTTAATTGAGGGTAATGTTTGGAAATACCATACTCTGATTCTCCTTTGGTAATTTGTTGCTCATTTTGGAGAAATTTCCTGCAGGAGCTGTGGTCAAAAGCCTTTGTAGGATATTTGAATTGTGTCTTTTCTGCTCAAAGTCAGAGAAAAGTGAAGTCGGTGATTCCTTTATGTGTCAGGCACAAATGCACACATGTGAGAAACATGTGTAGTCCTTTCACGCTGCACTCCTGGATCCTCTGGGTCAAATGATGAGAAGAACTAAGATGAGGCACCTACACAGTGATTAAAGGTTAACGTAGGCAACCTTTCTTTGCTTGTTTTTATTAGAAGCAAGAGGATAAAGAACGATTATTTCGTATTTGCACTGAGTGTGATATTCATGATCTACTGTCAGTCAAATCGACCTTCTCTACTTCTGTGTGCAGTTTTTTTTAAAAACCATGCTTCATGGCTGCAGCTCCATATCGATCAACTTAGCAAAGTCACATAAAATGGGTGGGGGGTTGGTAGGGGGGAAAATAGGCATGCCTTCATTGACCCACCGCCCACAATACGGAAACAAAACGAGATGAATTCTTCCCGAACGCCGCCTCATCTCAGTCTCCAGTCGTGTTTTAAATTCAGGAAGACGTCTGCCAATATATTAGGGAGATTCCTTTGGGTTTCGTACAGCCATAGTGCAGCAGCCTGTGCCATCGGGTTTTATTAGAGGCTTGATCGGCATCAGAGAGCAGAAAATGCCAAACTCTGATGTACGCACGAGCTGTGCAACACAGAGGAGGACAGGAATAGCAGCAAACACACAATCAGCCTGTCGGAGAAGGAACAGGGGGGAGAGAGAGAGACAGGGGGACAGCCGTAAGTGAAGATCTTTACAGACAGGCATGCTCAGATATGTAAGGTGCCCTGCGGAGAACTGGACTTGGCTTGGCCGCGAGCTTGTCTGCTTTCTGGTGTCTCAGAGATAACTCTGTCATCCATCAAGCTGTGAGAGAGCGTTCTGCCTCGGTGTGGGTCGACCTGTCTACAAGATTGCAAAACGGGTGGGAGTCCAGAGAGCTGCGTGAAGGGAAAGACGTAACACGTTAGAGCTAGTAGTGGGAGATAGTGGGGTAATAGTTTTATTACTAAACTTCAGTAAGGAACAAATTAAGGGAGGCTCTGTTCAAAGGTTACAAACGAGTTGCTTGTTACAGAGATCCAGATTGTTTCCTTGAGACTCTTGAAGCTTATGGCCAATCAAGGAGGTTTCACACTAAAGTAGATTTCCACCATCTTAAAGCAACTCCAGTCTCAAAAAGCACTGCTGTCTACTATGTAAACACTGTTTTATGAGCATTTCAACCATCACGACGTTTCCGTCACACTGGGTATTTGCTCCAAAGCGGATGGTTATTTATACAGGAAATGAAGGTTGGAGGCGATGTGCGGCTAATAATCCTCCAGCGTGAAACATTTACTGAGAACAGAGGAAGTGAAGGTGTTTCTAGTTATAGTATCTGCCCATTGTAAAGTGAAGATGTGAAAAGGCTAAAACTTTATTATTATTATTATTATTATTATTATTATTATTATTATTGCACCATCTTTTTTTTTTCTTTTCTCTGACCAGAATAGCTGTCCTCGTTCCACGCTCAGTAGGTGTTTCACACGGGAAAGGCTCACCACCTCCTGCCTTTATTTCCAGTGTAAATAAGCATCGGCTTCTGTGTAAATAATGCAGACGGTCGACGGCTCACAAAATGCATTCACATAAATCTCTGCGAGTGCAGTCTTTGTTCTTGGCCTCTATCAGACCAGCTGTTAGCTTCAGCACACCTGAACGAATCTGGATGAAAAACATCAGAAGATGTTTCTGCTCAAGGTAGGAACATCACCTTCTCACAACCTTCCCACAAACACCCCAAACTATCCTGTCAAAGCTTTATTCACGCGGCAATTACGTTGTGCTGCTGTGCCTATTTTTTGGACAACGGTCCCTCTGTGATCATGCGGCATGCAGATCAATGCCCATGAGAAAACATGACTCCCAGAAAGACTCAAGTCAGCATGCTGCACAAACCGAAGGTCTGTGTTCGTCCTTGCCTCTCCACACACGCGCAAAGTAATCTAATTGACTCTTGTCGCTCAGGGAAGTTTAGCTGACCTGCACCGGCGTTGATAGTCCTTGGTTTTAATAAGGCCTAGTGGTTCATGTTTTATTCATAGATACATGCAATAACTCTGCATGTCTGAGCCTCATAATTGGCGATATGATGAACAAGACAACCTTTAATTAACCATGCAGGGCAGTTGGCGCGTCTCACACTGCCTTACGCCTCTTTGGTAAGACAAATCACGAAAAGATCACTTGAATTGGTGCGATTACAGCCACGAGGGGGCAACGCAGGCAAAAGCAGAAGCAGCCAGTTGGATTATATGTCCTATCAGGAACTCCGGATTCTAATCATTTCTGCCTCCGCCTTTCTCCACTCCCGTTCGTGTTTTAGATTTTGAACTACAATCAAATACAGTCCACACCATGAAAGAGAAACAAAGAGTGAAAATAGGCATTCAATTTAGCATCCAACCCTAAAGCCATGAATCAACTACCCACTTCAGCATCATTAGCCACCAGCAGAGTAAGGCTAGTTTTTCTCACATAGATTACACGTCGCATTTATTCACCAAAGGAGGATCGAAGAGCTATTTTTTTCTGTCATGGTGCATCTTTTCCTCCTGGCTGAGCCTTATCCCTCACACCACCGATTAAGTGTTTTAGTTTATTATGGAAATCCCAATAAAAGGAATGTTGCTGAACATCGTAGAGCACTGAACACGTTCTTCCTGCCTGTCTCATTGCAATGTATTGCTCCTTCTGTCCATTTTATTCTAAAAGAAGCTAAACCTGACTAAACAAAACTAAAATTAGCTATTCTCTACAGAATAGGAAGAAACTGAGAGGTCACCCGACCTTCTCTTTGTTAGCAAGCCATACATCAGGCTACAACAGATCCAACACTGTGGTTTAACCTTTTCGATTATGAAGTCATTGTGCCAGAGGTCTTTGAATCAATAATAGAGCTACATTTATGCTGCTAAAGATGTATAATTTGGCAGCCAATTGCTGCCTCTGTGTGTGTGTGTGTGTGTGCGTGTGAGCGTGTGTGTGTGTGTGTGAGGAGACGCTTTTAAAGATACCCAAGGCAATATAACTCAAAAGTACTGAGAATCTGGACTGGTTGAAGGATTAGGAGGAGATAATCCTGACTGATCTGTAAATTCAGTCAAACTTCCTTTAAGATAGTTCGCTGCCTATCGAACCAAACGCCATGTTCAGCTTTTGTCTTTGTTTTGCTGTTTTTCTGCAAACTGTTCTTTAACCGGAATAACATGAACCCTCCCAAAAGCAAGTTTAGTACACAGGTGCACTAGTTACGTCACATAAGGCACAAAGCAGCTGTTCAGGCAGTTATTCCTCTGGGGATGTATTTTTTTCTTGTCGATTTCCCCATCGTTCCAGCGGGAAGAAGCAAGAGCAACATGTCATTTCAGAAGCAGCGTTTTGTTTGGGTAGGTGAGTTCACACCGCACACACAGTGACAAAGTGGGCAACTGTTTAACAAGAAGAAAACTCGACCGATTCAAACCAGTCAGAGAATGAAGACGGTGCCGGTCGTCATGACGCTTTGTTTCAGTTTTGCCAATAGTTTCCGTGAGGGCCGGATGGATTGTCAAATTCAGCAGATTCAAACAAGTACGGCTGCAAATTTTTTTAAGTGGGATTTGACTCAAGTCACTTAGGCCCCCATGCCTGTCCCTCTCATGATTTCATCGACCCAAATAAACACGAAGGAGAATTAGTTGTTTATTTCCCAGGAGGCTTTCTTTTCTCAAGAAAAAAGTACTTTTGTCAAGTACTACAGTGGAAATTAATACTTCATTACCCAGCAGTGTATTTATTTGTTAGCGTCGAGCAAAAGAGCAGGATAGTATCTTTTAAACGCTGCAGTGCAGCGAGAGCAGCAGCTCTCTTGTTTGCGTGGTATGAGTCAGATAATAACTTTATTCATGCATTCATTCAGGGGTCTTGTGCACGGCTCTCCAAGCCAAAAAGAGAATCTGCTGTCGTACAATTGAATTTCACAGTCATCTGTTTCAGTTATCTCCGCCCCGTTAAGCTGTTTGCAAGCGCAGGTGGCAGGATTTAGCGGCGGAGGAGCTTGCATCATTTGAATACGAGGAGGCTGGAACTCGGGAGGAGAGGAGCCCATGAAATTAACGAGTGGAGAATGTAATTATCCCAGCGTCACCGTTCGTGTAATACAAGTGAAGCCGCGCGTTCCGCGCTGCGACACATCCACTCTGAGGCAGTGCTGAATCCACTGCACTTCAGACATTGGAGCAGCCAAAGTAGCATCAGTAGGTGGCGCTAGAATAGAGCGCGTGTAGCTGCAGCCTCGGTAAACAGAGGCCCGCGCAGACGGATTGAGGAGAGAACATATGTGGGGGAGAAAGACACACACACACACACACACACACACACACACACACACACACACACACACACACTTGCAGAATGATTCCTCGTTATCATTAACACGTCTCTGTGTCTCCTCCGGCTTGTTGTGCCCTTCTTCTCCAATAATACCTGAATTCAGTTGGCAGCAAAGCTACTCGGGACGCTGCAGCTGCGCAGCTGGCGGCGAAACGTGCTTCTCCGCTGGCCGGATTTATTGAATGTTCCCAATCTGAAATCATGAAAGATTTATTAGCCACGTCGGCGGGCGTGCACTTTCACATCGCCTTTCAATTATTTTATTGTACACAAGTCGACACGCATATTTACCGCGAGGTAAAAAAAAAAAACAAACAAAAAAAATAATATTAGAGTATTAAAGACCTAAAGCTCTATTTGTCGATTTTAAAAGAAAGCCTTCCCCGGGGCATAGTGTGACTAAAAGATGGGTGCAGGAGCTCATTATTGAGTAGCTGAGAGTCTGAGCAAGCAATTGAATCAAGCATCCTTTCAGCAGTCATTTTTAGTCCTCTTTTCTAGTTCCTAATTCGATTTTCATATTTTGTGCAGTGTAGCAAACATTGTTGACCCTTCTAAGACCCACCAAATTGTCTGTTCATGCTCCACCCCGCAGGCAAAGGATGCGAGCAAACCTTGTGTTGATATTCCAAACAACTTTCACAATGAATAGGTAACGCTTCTGATTTGAACGGTCTTCTTAGCGGCGTCTGATTTTCTGATTTCACATATACTCTTGGCATTTCTCCGTGACGTAACTATCTGACCAACGTCTTCCGCTGTTCTGTCTTAGGCAGGCTGTGTTTTTAACTTCATTCTCCTGCAAAATGAACCTCTGTGTCAGTCGTTCTTGCAGCCTCTAATAGGTTCTCCTCCTGAGCAGCTTATCTGTCCCTGTTTAAGTAAAGAATCCCCACAGCATGACTCTTGCAACACTATGTTTCACCATGGGGATATTATATATTCAAAGGGATGTGTGGTTATAGTTGTATTTTGCATTTGGGGATGAGGGGTAGAAAAAAAGCTACATTTTGGTTTCATCTGACCACTGCACCCTGTTCCACATGTTTGCTTTGTCTGCCATATGAGTTGTGAAAGTCTGGTCTTATTGCTCTGTTCAAACATCGGGTTTCTTCTTCTACTTGCCTGTTATTTTTGTCCCACTTGCCTTGCATGCCGGCTTAGGTGGACGATTATGTCTAGGAGGGTTTTTGGTTGTTCAAAGCTAACACTCATACAATCAAATTGTCTGCAGTTTTAACAGAAAAAAAAATTGAAAATGTTCGAAAAACATTCATACCTGTTATTTTCATTCTCTTTTCTCTTTTTTCTCTTTTCTTTTAATTGCTTTGAGAGATACCCGTCTTTCCTTTCACTGGATGTCTGTCCATCCTCTTTTTCCTCTAAATTTTCTCACTTTCTCATTTTTTGTCTTCATTTGAACCTTTGTGGCAGCCTTCTGTCATGCAGTCATGGGCGGGTGTAACCTGAGGTTACCGACACACATGGCTTGTCTTGAAAAGTTTCTTTTCTGACTCAAAGGGCATTTTATCCATTTCCTTGGATCAAGTTACAGAGTTTTCAGACAGAATACAAATAAATTAATCCATTTCATATCTTCTTAATCAAGGCAAATGTCCAGGTGGATGTTTTGGGCCTTTGTTTGGACTCAGTTTAAATTCTTTTGACCCAGCCTCCACATTCAGTGCTAAACTTAGACGTCTGTTCACACACCCGAAATCAGTCCAGAACCAGCAACAGATGAAGAAACGAACCCGCCCCATCCGTCTCTACTTTTGTTCCCTTCTATCTTTTTCCCCACAGTTGAGCTAATTCACCTCTCATCAAGTTTTCTGCAGCAGCAACACGTCCTCCTGTTCACGACACTCTCCCGCCCCGTAGAAAGGAAGTTGTCTGCAAGTCAGTCATCAAATCATAATCCCACATCCAAACAGGGGGCTCTCCTCTCTCTCAATGAGGTCGTCTTGATGACCTGAACCATCTGAAACAAAGGATGGTTCACAAAGTCCCACATGGCTGTCCCACTTACACTTCTCTACTGTTGCCGACCCCATATCTCAGGGTGTCCTGAACTCCCCGTTCTTGTCCATCTGAAGAACGTTGAACCGGTCCTGCTGCTGATGATGAGGTGTCCTGTTGAAGGGGCTGCTCAGTAGAGACTCCGTCTTGCTGCAGGAGACTGCTGGATGTCCCTCCTTCTCTGTGCTTTTTCACTGCTTCCGTCTCTGTGGATAATGTCTGTGTTAACTGGATGACATATTCACAACACTGGCACAAACCTTTTGCCCCCACATCCAACACGACGACGACAAAAAGCACCGTCTCTTTCCCAATAAGCACCTTATATGGGGTGAAACCAGTACTGGCATGGACACTGCTGCAGTATGTCATCGTCACATATGGCAGCCACAAATCCGGGTTTTAGCTGGCTATTCTCTGCAAACAAAGACAACATTTGGGTGATTAAATCGACTGTGGATGGAATGGGGATTTTCTTGTTTTATGGAAGTTTGAGAGCTGGCATGTCTCCCTTAATAAAACTGACCTAAACAACCTCTCTTGATCTAAACGAGTGCTATAGCACCACACCTACAAACCCATTCCTCTACCAGAACCTTTGGTATTTTATGTGCCTCTTGATTGGGTAAAGGACATGCCTCAGTCCGTTTGGAAAAAAAATAACAATATTGAGCCCACAACATCAAATGCCATGCTCTCATATTGTCTGTCGACGACAGATGTTTGGAGGGGCCACCAGTAAGAGGACAAACTTTGATTTAGGAATAAAAGTTTGAATCAGAGAGCCACGGTATTTCCCAAATTTCACAGAAGCTCGATCTCAACTGCTAACTTTGATCCCAGAATCCAGAGTTTTAGGGTTTGCAGCACAGAGACTAATCCAAAAGTTACCTGTAGAAAAATGACTAAGAGACCGATGTCTGCTCAACATGTCCTAAGCCTCCTCATTCATAGACGGATGTGTGCTGTAGCCAACCGTATTTCACGCTTCGCTGTGAAGGGGTTTCAAATATATTGTCATTGCTTTCTTTAACTGGGAATAATTATTTCTGGCTTCAGAAGAGATTCCATTGTGGACATCTTGTGCGTGACCAGATAACAGACGGGACAAAAAAAAATCTCTTGACAGACTCGTCCCATCCATTAATACCAGCTGCCAATTCAAACTGCTCCATCCAGTCAGACCAGCCTTTGCATTTAGCTGCATTTAACAGCAACATAAGCTGTATTTTCATGTTTTACGCAGCTAATAAACGGTATCACCTGAAAAATGTCTTGTGTCAATAGACTATACAGATATAGGTCAAAGTTCAACCTGATACAACTTTAACCTTGAGGCAGAGAACACTGCAGTGATTTAAATGCATAAGTAATGAATCAATTTCACAGCATTGTGATGTCACTATTACTTTTACGCAGAAGGCACACAAAGGGTGTCACGTGTCTGAAACCACACGGACTATTTCTCTTCAATATTCATAACTAATAACGCAAAAAGAAATAAAACTTCTTGTTGGTAAGCTTTAGAGGGGGCAAGCCAGCAGCTCAATTATCAAGTTCAAACATTTTTTTTATCAATTTATAATTGCATAGATAGATAGGGCAAGTTCACTCAGTGATTTTAAAAAAAACATTTTTACAAGTCAAGAACTGGCTGTTAACAGATAAAGAGACCCTTACATTATTAGAGACAATGGTAGGAAGCACAAAGCTGGAAAAAAAAAAAAAAAGCTTTGACAGTCATTGTGAACAAAAGATTATTTCGATGATAAACGATTCGGAAATCATTTCATTGCTCAAAGAAATGTCTAGCAAGAGGATTAGTGGCACATCAGCTCCATTGAAGTCCCTCCGACCTCCATGTGGCTTGAAAGAACAGCCCAATATAGTTTGGGGTAATTAATGGCAGCGTATTTCCCTCCCTCCTCCAAGGACAGCGCCATGTGCTTTATTGGAGGCTGCTAATTCTGACTTATTACAATAGCTCTCGACTATAAGGCCACTAACGATTTCCTTTTACTGTTCGGCTTTTTTTTTTCTTTTTTCATTTTGGCTCATACTCTTTATGACTCACAGGGTCTGCTGGAACACTGAGTTTAATCATCCCTATTAATGGGTTGGGTGATTGATCTGCGGTGTCGAGGGAGAGCTTTCATGTAGACTCGAGTGGCTGTTGTTGTTTTTTTTTTTTTGCTTGTTTGTTTTGTTTTTCTTCATACCCCTCACCTATAAAATAAGGTTATTTTCATCTTTGTCAAATTCTGATGACACAGTTTCAAGTTGAATACAGCCTTGTTTGTGATCAAAAAGCAGGGAGCTAATTGAGTTCATTTCTGGGATTTGTAATCATTCAAAGGGAAATTGCAAACGATAAATACATTTTAAAAACCCAGCCGAACAAACAAACAACAGGTCTTTTTTTTTGGGATTCACTTCTTAAATTTATGATTCTGAAAGTCAAGTCTTTTCTGTTGTATTTATTTTATTATTTTTCCTCATCGTAGGATTGAAAGAGTTTGGTAGGGTCTACATATAGTCTCTAAGGATCTGCCAGGGCTTTCAGAAGGAGCTTTCGCAGGATTTCTTTGTGAAGGGAGATTTATGCTCCAGCACCAGCGAGAGAGCATTTGGGAGCACATCCGATCTCTGGTTGCCTAATCTGCCCAAGAATTAATTACTACATTCCAGGGAAATGAAATATAAAAATAGCATTTGGATAATGGCATGAAATATATTTTTTTTCCAAAATTGGTTCAAGTTCAAGCATTTTAAAGATTTTTGCTCGTTGTTTGCTTTCAAACGTTTCGTGGTATGTTTTTATATTTATATCTTCACAACTGTCTCAATCTGAGGGCAGTCTGATCTCCAATGGCTGACAGATTACATTATTATTATTGTTGTTGTTGTTGTTGTTGTTGTTGTTGTTGTTAGCTATAATGATGCACCTGTTGGAGAATAATTCCAGTGATAAGACCTCCATAGGTTGTAGCTATAAGTGGAAAAATCAGTGATATTTGGAATTTCTTGTGGCTAGTGACAAGGTTCTTATTAATACAAAATAATAGTGCATTTCCTCATATTTTACCGTCAAATATTAAAAGAACATGCTCCTGTTCATGTAATAAGTACCTTGAGGTGGGCTCTTCCAGAAAATTTGACATTTTGTGAAAGCAGTAGCTATGTTGGATATTAGACGTGGGTCGACGCTATAAACCTCAGTGTTTCCGTGTGCATGTGACCTATGTTTTATTTAATTTTTGGACATTGACCTCAGAGTGCAAATCAAATGCATTGTACTCCAGCTCTTTCAGTCGACTCCTGAAGACCGAATATTGATTTTGCTTTACAGCTTTTCAATTTGCACCACAACGTGTGTGTGCGTGTGTGTGTGTGTGTGTGTGTGCATAAGTGTGTGTGTGTGTGTGTGTGTTGTTTAGAGACCCTCTGGTTGCAAATCTTTAATCCTCATGCTTCTCTGTAGCTCTTTCCTGTCGTCTCTGCTCTATCGATTTGCATGACCGCTGCTTGCTTGTGTTAATTTAATTTGTAATGCAGTGTTTTGCTCATTTTCTCCTCCCTGCTTTCTCTTATTGGTCCATTTATTAGTTTACATTTTACGTGTTTCTATTTTTAGCTCCTGGTCACGATATTAAAGAACTGTTTGAGCACTTGTGCTGGCATGCAGTTCTTCTTCCTGCCATAGCACTTGTACTTCTCTCTTGGCCCGTTTCCCTCAGTCTGTTTACAGCTTGTTAGAAGCCAAACACGGCCTGCCCCCTGACCCAGTGGGGTGTATAAGATTCTCTCTCTTGCCTGGAAGGAGAACCGTCGTTAAAAACCTTTCAAGTGAGGCTCGGTGGCAGAAATACTCAATTAAGTTTGCTTTTCTCATAGGTGCCAGCTCAGATCTGCTTTCACTATAAGTATACACGGAAGTAGAGGTTTGGTTAAAAATAAAATAATAATGATGATATTTGAGATTTATGCACGTAGAAAAATACATTTTAAAACTTCATTTGTGGAGTTTTTCTTCTGCCAGAGCTTTGCGTTGACTGATAAAATGAAGAATGTTCAAACTGAACGTGAAAAAGCGGAGACAAAGATGAGAGACGTAATGCCACGGTGGAATTACCAGGATTTCTGTTTTGTTAGGATCTTTTTTTTTGTTTTGTTAGTGAAACTGAAAGGGAAATGGGAATTTTGAAGACTTACGGTGTGCAGATGGAGCAGTGGAATAGAGAGTGCTGCTTAGTCAGTCACATAGATGACAGGCCTGGACTCGGCCCATCTGTCGCCATCTTTCCTCTCTCTGAACTGGCTCTAGAGATCCTGAGTCTGTTTCCATGCCAGTTGCTCCTGCGCATGTGAAATATTGTCCTAAGCGGCAACATAAAAGTGGAAAAGATTTACCAAAGCAGAACCAGGAGATAAATATTTTATTCTTTCTTTTCGTTTGATCAGAAATTAAAATGCAATTAAATTTTTTTTTTTTGTTGAGATAAACTCTTCTGCAAGTGCCTTGCAAAAACATTCCTTCCTCTTAGTTTTTCACATTTTGTTTTCTTACACTTTGATGTACTTTTAATTAGAGTTTACATGACTGACCAGTACAACTAATACACAATTGCTAAGTGGAAGGAAATCAGTACGTGCTCTTTACTTTTTTCAAAAAATAAAGTCTGGCATTAATTCGTACTTGGCATTTTGTAGACCTATGTCCCTCTGTAATTACCACATTTAGCTACAAAAATCTTCCCCTCGACTCTGATTCCAGTGAAAAAAAAGCTTTCCCTTTGCATGATTTTGCCACCACAAAGCTTCACCATGCAGGTGGTGTTATTCTTCTGTCACATAAGATGTTTTGCATCTAAACCTTTTCAAAATGCCTGCATAGACTCAATTCTCAGGGATGTCAGAAAAAAGGGCTAATCATAAATATGTGCATACTGTACTTTTGCAGTGCTCCTCTCCCTATGACTTATCATACAAAGAAATTGCATTGCAATATCATTCAGAGCACATAAAATACAAAATATTTACAATCGCAAAGTTACCAAAAACTAGATTCGAACTAGTAATACAGTCAAAGACAATATCAAAGAAATGTAACACGTCTATGCGGTTAATCACAATTGGCTTAGATTTCAAAACAGATGGAAACAATAACACATTAAATTTTAAAACTCTCTTTATTGTT